GCTTCAAAAGAGGCACACTACTATGCTGTCTTTTGAATGCAAACCTTTAGGGGACTGCTGTAAGAAAATGAAGTAAAACCATTTTTTTTTCCACTTTAAACTTGTTAATTTACTGGCTGTAATGCCTTGTCAGGGAAAAACCACGCTCAACTTTGAACCCCAAGGTTAGAGCCACTAACAGTCTCCCCTCCAAGCATTATAACTGTGAATTGCCACTGAAATGATTAAACAGATAAGGGACTCTAGTATGTGAAGAATCAAATATCTTATCTGGTCACTGTACTAATTGAAAGCAACCTTGTATGGTAAGAAAACGAATTCTTACTGAATTCAGCATAAACCCAAAGATGTTTCATCCATGTTGACACCTTTAATATTCAGAAAGATGGGTTATGAGCCGGGGTATTTTATAAAACTTTAATTTCTATTCCTATTTCTGTGATTTTTCCATGTGAACTTGTGCTTAGTTCTTATTCTTTTATATTCACAAACCCACACTTCTAGCAGAGAAGTGCCCATGTATTGCACATAGTGGAAGTTCCTGACATCCCCACTGCATGTTAGGATAGCTCAGTCAGAAGATTAAAGAGAATCTCTAGAGCCCAAGCAGAAAAGAACATAAACACAGGCCTCCTATCGCCCTGCTTGCTCTTTAAACAGTCTGTCCTCCGTCATCCTGCAAAGGCAGCAACAGAAAGATGAACAGCCAAACACAAAAGAATAATCAGTAATAATCACTGACCAGGAAATGCTGCTTCTTCACTTCCAGTTCTGTTACTGGAGTAAAATGTCTCCTCCGAGAAAGCATCTTTTTACTGCTTATTGCCTTCCTAATAGACTTTCTAGAATCAGAAGTAAAATCAATATTTTTCTCCCTGTGCCCTGAAAAAACATTCTTCTTCAAGTGTGGGATCGTTCATAAAGTCTCAGTCTTCTTTTTATTGCTATGTACAATATAAAATCATACTCAGGATCCAATAGGGTAGGAATTCTAATATAGTTACAGAACCTAGGCTGTTGAAACACTGTATAAATATAATAGCATTTTCTGGTATAGAAAAAGTGCAAAGAGTGTTTTTACCATCCAGAAAAGCACTTGAAAATTGGACCTTGGTGCATCTCTTCTGTTTCATTAATTTCCTAACATTTTGTTTAATGGCTTTGGGATTATTAGATAACCATAACTTCTACAGTGTTAAGCAGAGTTTACTGTGTGGTTTAATTTGTGCCATTATCCTGTGATAGAAGCTTGAAATAGTCCTTTTTCCTCCTAATGAACAAGAAAACAAGTTTTCTTTTGTTTTCTGACTAACAAACACAGCCGTGAAACCCAAGTCAGCATAAATTAATCCTTACAGCATTAATATCTCTTCCACCCTCAGCTGTCAGAAAACCTGTGATAAACCCCTCAGTTCTGGCGAGTCTGCTCCTTCCTGTACCTCGAAGCAGGGGGAGGGCTCAAGGAAAGAATGACATGTAATTATGCAATTAATTATTATTATTATTATTGGTAATGGTAGAGGTGTAGAAACATCTCTGGTTTCTCTTCAGCAGAGAAATAAGCTCTGAAATGGGGTGACAAGGGCTGGAGTGTTCCATGCACAGACAGGTGTTGGGAGAGCTTTGGGCATCACCTGCCACTGGCTCTGAAGCCTCTTCATCACAAATGGGCATCACACAAAAGTTGTTCAGTGCTGGAAATGGGGGACAAGTGCTGGCAGTTCTTTGCCTGCTTTAACCAGGATGGAAAAAGAAATAAAGTTAGAAAATGCTCTAAAGGAAAAGAGCTTCAGAAGCCCCACAGATCACCTCTTTGGGAATCAGACAGTTTGAGATAATGGAAGTCATCTTCAGAAAAAGAGAAAGTCTCTGGAGAAAAGCCTCTGTAATCCAGTCACCATTTAAAATACAGTTTTTCTGTCCTGTGTATTGCATGTGAGAAAAAGGATTCTGAAAGACTGAAACTAAAGAAATTTAGAATAAAATAGAATAAAATAGGAATAAAATGAAATAATAAAATAATAAATTAAGGAATTAGCTTTCATTATTCAATAAAAATTTGAAAAGACTAAGAAACTTATCAGACTAAATTAAATGAGGAGCTCACCTCATTGCAGATGACTGCTTGTAATTCAAGAAATTTATAACAGTGTAGAAGAAAACAGAGAGCAGATGGCGCAAAGAATCCTCAGTGCAAAACACAGATCAGGGCTGAGCTCAAGAGCCAGGAACCACCCTTCAGCCTAGGACCAATAGCAAGAAAATGCTGCCATTAAAGTGATTAAAAGCCATGCAGAGCTTCTAAGCATTTACTTTTTTTCAAATGGTTTCAAACTGGGTAACCAAATTAGAGTTCTCCTGCAGCTACTGGATTTGAAACAACTAATTAAAAGAACTTCCCATTGATTCATCATAGGGACATTAGAGCAGTCTTTAGAAAAGGGAAAATAGGATTTACCTATCTCAAAATTGTCTGGTTAAAAAGAGCTTTAACAATAACTGGATAGGATCTTTAGGGTCTAATTGGCTTCTGCTCCAGTGAGCAACAGTTGTAAGAGGCAGGAATTTCTCCGTAGAAGGCAGTGCCTTTAGCAGCACTTCCCAACAAAAGGAGTAGAAACTGAGCTGGCTGCAGCTTTTAATTACTTGGGTTTATTCATCTCTTTCTGCTGGCATCCTGCATGACAAATGCAGGAGCATCCTTCTGCACCGGTGAGAAATGGGCTGTGGGGGCTCTTTTGTGGCTTTGTGTTAAAAAGTACACCTTTATTTTTTTTTTAACAATTACCCCAATGCAATCACAAATGCTTCTCATATTCTCAGCCTTACCTGCACAACTGTGCATTTTGATTTAGAGGATTCAGTGCTGCAGGTGTGATGTGAGCCTTACTGTGGGGGGTTCGGTTCCAAGTGCAGGTCAAACTCAGCTGGTTTAGGAGAGATCCAAAATAATTTACTTGCCTTACTTTGCTACTGAGTTGTTTCCCAGAAAGCAGACTTGGGTTCTTCCTTATGCTGAACTTTTGAGAGGACCTTCTGATGTGCCAGGACCGTGCTTTGACAGGCAGTTCCTCAAATGGAGGAGTTACTGCCCTGAGCTCAGGCTGAGGACGTGCACAAATCACTGGATACATTTGGGAGTCAGAACACAAAGAAAAACCCCCGTCCTGAGTACGTATGGAAAGCTTATGGAGGTTAGCTCATAATTTGAAGACATGTTATATCAGCAATCTGTACTAGGGGTCACGCTGTGGTCCAAATCCTATAAATGCCCTTCATTTATTTGTTTGTATTTTATTCTGTTCAGTTATTTACATTATGCTTTCTAAGGACTTCCTGAAAATTGAGTTGATCCTTTATTCAGCGTGGCAGGAAATCTGGTTTTTTGATACCCTTACATCAGAGCTGTGGTTAAAATGGCACTAAGTACGAGGCTAGAACAGTTTCCTGTGTAAGCTCTGTGTTGTCCACTTAGCACTTTGGTAGGTTTTTTTCATTTTCATTTTTTTTCACATGTTGAGTTGGGGTTTTTTTCACATCAGAGAGAACAGGACTATTATCCCACAGAACAGTTATCCAAAGGGAGGAGAGACAGTGGATGGAAGTTGGTTTTCTCTCTCAGATAGTGCATTATCACAGAGAAAGATGTGCATGTCTGTGTGTAGAGTTTCCCTTTTTTCAAAGACAAACAATCAATTTGGTTTTCTTCAGTGTTTGTGTACAAATTCTAGAATTTATTTGTTGTTTCCATTTCTTAAACTTCCTAAAATATTTACAGGAAAGAAAACTGAGGCGTGAAATTTTGTGCTCAGAAGCAGGTTATTATTTCTAGGGAGACTCTCTCATTCAAAAGACAAAACCAGAAGTTATAAAAATGTGTTATTTTTAGGAGAAAGCTCCATGGAAACTTAGAAGAAGTTAAGTAAAATTCCTAACAGAGAGGAATGGGGGAGGGGGTGTAATAAACTGATATATTTTAGTGGAAAGGCAGATAGTGAAAGCTGTGAGCCAGTTGTGGTAACTGGTTTGTTCAGCTTACTCAGTTGTGTTCGGGGTTGTTGAACAACATGACTGGTTTTCCTGTAATGTTTGGGAAGGCTGCACATCAATACTACTAAAACAGCATCAGCATCTGGAGATTACTGGACCTCCTTTGACACGCTTGACCAGACGAGTAAAATAAGCAAAGCTCGCTTTCTAGAATGCAATTTTTGCACCATTGGAAGTTGCTGCATAGATAACCCTGCATGTTCTTTCCCAAAAGGGCAGAAAATCTGTTTCTTACAATTGTTTCTTACCGTTTCTTGCAATGGTTGAGCCTGCAGCGAGATCGCTGGGCTCTTGAGTGCATCCGTGCACGCTGGATGCCAGAGGCTGCTGGAGGCAGTGCCAACCCGCTTATGGCAGGGGGGTTTGGGGGCACCTTTGCCCCCCCAGTTTGCCCCTAACTGGATCCCTGCCAGGCTGGCTCTGCCGTGCCCACAGCCCCTCAGCAGAGGGCAGGAGGGCCCTGGTGCTGCCGGCCCAGCTGGCACCAACGGGATCCATCGTCCCTGGTTTGAGCTGCATCACTTCATTTACCCCAAAGAGTAAACTCTGAATGTTCGTTGTACGCAGTGGGATTATGCCATGTAACGAAGATTGACCTGCATGTAGAATTTACTGTCTCTGAAATGTGGTTCTGCCCTGGGCACCGTGTCCTGGGAGCCAGCAGTGCCACCCGGCTGTGCCCAGCCCGTGCTAGGGACCAGCACAGGCGTTGTTTTCTGTGTTTCTGCGTGCAGCCATTGCTCAGGAGCTGCACTTCAGCAAAAGAGTTACCAGTGTGTGCTTGAGACATTAATGCCAGGTTAAATGGTTTCCCTGAGAATTGCCATCTGTCGTGCTTTGCTGTCTGCGGGTCACTCACAGTCACCCGGGGTTGGTGTCCTCAGACAGTAGGTTGAAAGGATAAACCGTGTGCTTCGTCTTTAACCCTTAGTTATCCTTTTCCCTTTCAGCACCCACCTTGATAGGTATGGTAAGGAAGGACTGGGCTTCCCAAAACAGCATTGCCCTCTCCTGGCAAGAGCCGGACTTTCCCCATGGAGCAATTCTGGACTACGAGATCAAGTACTATGAGAAAGTAGGTCTCACTTACAGCATCACCCAAACTCAGATCCTAAAGAGCTATGTGTTTCATATTTTTAATAGTATTTTTAAAAAAAAACTTTAAACTTTTCACTTGATCCCACACACAGTGCTATGTATGCTTAAGTAGACGTTCTATTTTGTACTGAATTTTTTTGTTGTTTTACTTGTAACTTGTTAATGACTGTCTTGTTTCACATCAGAATCAAGCAGAACAGCAAGCAGACCGTACATATACTTTTCTCATAGCAGACTACATTTACAAACATGGGTAAATGGATCATATGCTTGAGCGTATTTTGATTTATGGACTCTAAAAACGTCACATTAGAGCGACACTGAAGCAGCAGAATTAAGGTGAATGGGAACGTGGTTTCATTTGCTAAATGAAGCAATAATCTGTGCTTAAATGGCAGAAATACAGGCCAAGTCATGAAAGTAAGATTTGGGGATGCTGGGCTCTGGAAATCACTGAGGCTTTTCTTCCTTGACTGCATTTCTCTATTGAGATTGTGCAGCTTTAATGATGCAGAAAAAAAGGGTAAACTGGGAAAGAAATCCAAACCATTTAAATAGCAGTGCTAGAGGGAGAAGGCAGATTGCTCAGAATATTTGGGAGCCAAAGCAAGGAAACCCTGCTTTCCTACACTAGTGGAAGTCCTGCAGGTTTTAATTCATTACCATGGTAAGCCACAGTATGACCTGAACTCCCTGTGTTTCATTTGTTGATGTTGAACACGAGAAATTGTGAGGTTTTATGCAGTTGAAGAGGAACAGCTCCAAAGATCCATAACCTTTCATATGGATGTTAAATCAGAAAAACTTCTCTATATATTTATCAACAGTTTGTATCAATACCTGCCACTGCTGAGTGGCAAATAGCTTTCCTCAGGGATCTGGATGTTACCTAGCCTGGACAGTGTGCAGCAAGGCTACACACACAGGCTCTGTGGCCCTCTGCTGTGTCCAGTTTGAACCACTCTGTTTTTACCAAGCACTTTCTCTTTCCACCTTTTTAACATATAGAAGGAGTATCTTCTAAATACACTAAATGCACTGCTGGCATCTTCAGGTCCTCCTCACCTTGGAGCTGTGCATTAAACAGCACAGTCTGTGTCCTGCCAGGGGTGTTTGTAGCAAGTGAGACTGTGATCCCTCAGGCTTCCCAGGAACCTCAGAGAGGGGCTCTTGGCATTCGTGTTTTCAGCAGAAGTGACAAAGTAGGGATGTTGTTGCATCCCCGCAAGAAATAGGATGAAAGGGAAATAATTGTCTGCTGGATTTAGTACGAATTTGCCACAAAGGCATCCCTGTAGCAGAGAGTAAAAAATGCTGCTGCAGCTGAAGAACATGCTAGGTACGAAAAGGTCAGAATTTTTGTTAATGTCTTAGGGAGTTAGGAAAGATGCAGAAGCCTTAGGTAATCATAAACACACTAGGCAGAAAAATGGAACAGCTTTTGCAGTCTTTGTCCCTTTTTACCTGTCATTTGTGTTTAATAAAGAAAAGGGGGTTTGTTCTGATATACAACGTGAGAAAATGAATGTCTCCAGCAAATACAAACACTCAATCCTCCAAATTCATCTGATTATATCAGTTTATTAACTTTGGGAAACTCTGAAGAATTAGCAGGATTCTAAAGTTTTACAAGTATTTACTGCTATTTCTTTTAAGATACTTTGTTGGCATTTGAAAAGCTGTCAATATGCTTTTGGGTCAAAAATGTGGTGAACATAAACTGGCCTAGGACAGAATTAGAGCTGATTTGACCTGTGAGGAGAACAAAAATTCCTAGACATTCAGTCCAAGGTGCTGTGAGTTCTGTCACAGTGAAGGGAAAAGGTTTTCCACTGCTTGAATAGTTGTGTGATATAACCAGAGAGAGAATATCATGATCCTGAAATAATACTTGGTGTTGAGGCCTGGGAGTTGAAATACCTTATTTCAGGTAGATTATGAATAATTCTGGAACCTTTACAGTTGGCAACATTTGTCACCTTAAATGAGAAATGAACCTTTACAGTAACACACAAAGACTCAGTTAAATCTTTGCCCTTTGGGATCTGAGATGTCCTTATAAAACCATTTCTTCACAGACCTTCTTTGGATTCTTCAGAGAGTAAACATTGCAAATGATCTCTGTTCATACTGGATGTCTGCCCCATTCTGCAGTCTGTTGTCTGTACATTGTATTTTATAATCCCTTGATATCATCCCCAAACTGCCCACAATTTCTAAAAGGAAAAAATCTCTCCTGGGCAGCATTGTCTTTCCTTTTAAAAATCAAACTCCGTACATCAATATAATCTCAGTTTTGTTGCTAATAGCAATTAACTTTTATACTCTAAAACTGTTAGTCAGACAGTGACCAAAACTTGTATTATTTGCAGGGTTCCAGGGCACCATAATCTCTTCACCTCTCATTAAAAAGTTGCATGTTTGAGACAGATGAAGGAGTGGGATGAGATATGGCCCTGTCAGGGGCTTGTCATGACACTGAGTCCCTCTGCAGGAATTTCTCATGGGAAAGGAAACAGAACCCAGTGGGGACAAACCCTATCAGCTGCACTTCAGGTTGTGCAGCTGAACTGGAAAATGCTTCTTCCTCCCCTTTTCTCCCCAAACCCATGGAGTTAATCACCAAAAATTAACGCTCCCCGAGAGCTGGAGTCAAGCATTCCAAGCTGTGGAGGAATCAGCAGCTGTATTGTTTGCTCTCTCCTGTGGCCCCAGTACACCAGCTGGATTGTGCTTTGTTACACACAAGAAAATCCCTAATTAGCTAAGGGAGCCTGTCCATGGAGAAGAGATTTTAATGGAATGTACCCGAGCAGTATCCAAGGCACTGCAATATCTCTAAGTAGAGAAACTAGAGAGTATCTTTTGAATCGAGATGTTGGGTGGGGAGTGAGGGGCTGGCTGATATTTCTTTGCTTTCTTGTCTTTTGATTAAATTTACACTGAAGCCAAATCCCTTTGGCAAAATACTTCATTTTGTTGGGAGGCTCAATTTGCAGCTCGTAGGCTGTTTTCACATGGAAGATTTAACCCAGCTCCGTAGGACAGTGAGTGGACAGCATATGTGGGATGTCAGATATTACTTTTCCTCCATTCCAGTGTGATTTAGGGTTGAATTAATAAATAAAAATGAGAAAATAACCACGCAGTAGAGGCAAGGGGGAAATTAGTTTTTCCAATGAGATTTGAAAAAGAGATGAAGAGCTGATGAGGCAGAGATATAGAGCAAAGTACCAGATTTAAAGAATTAGAGAGCAGTATGACCTTGTTAATTTTTCTATCGGTCAACAGCTGTATTTACTTAACTTACATGAGAAATGATGCTCCTTCTTAAAATCTAATATTAAAACAAGACCCCTATTTCTTGGAATAATCAGTAATGTGAATTAAAATGAGCCCTCCTGAATCTGAGTAATTGAACTTGAGGTACATGACATGATGGCAATAATGCAAAGATTTAAGACTATCAGTGCACGATGTTTTGACTGGCAGAAAATTTTCTTTCAAAAATTAATATGGACAATTTTAAGAAGAAGAAAGTAATTGCAAGAAAGTAATTTTGTCTTTTAGAGCTGTTTGCCTGTAGTATTCTGTAGTTTAAAGCAAATCTCCCTGCTCTAGAAATATGTACACAATATTATTTCAAAGCCATAGAAGTGCAGATATATAACAGATCACACACTCTCTGTTTTGAAGGCAAAAAGATGCACAGAGGTATGAGCTGATATTCTTGTCATTTTTTTTTCATTTTTTGAGGAACAGATAATCTTGTGCTGTGCTCAGCACCACAATGAAGACTAGCACAGCAACAGCACAGTCCTGGTTGCTTTATTCCATTTTTTATTCCCTTGTGAACTGGCAGGGTAAGGTGTGTGACTCATCCTGGTTTGGGACAGCAGATGTTCCTCTGTGTCTTCTCCAGCTAAGGAGATATTTCATTATGATCTTCTTGGGTTAATGAACCTGCTCCTACCTGAGCACTGCCTGCCATCCAGCCTCAGTGAGCAGGAGCCACACATGTTTTTATTAGACAAGAGATGGAGGTTTCCTTCAGGAAGCCACACCGTGTAGATCAGACAGTACCCTGAATTTCTGTGTGACTTTTTGGAAAAGAGAAGTAGAATCAGTCATTTCTCCTGTGTGCCTTTCTGTGAGGTCTGTGTGACACGGGTGAGGTTCATTGACGCTCAACCTCCCTGCTTATTAAATAGCCAAACGTCCCCAATCTTCCCATCTCTTTACCTACGGCTTTGCATAGTGTTTAAATGAGTTAGAAGAAAGGCATCTTTTTCAGACACAGCTGTGTAACAACTTCCCTATTTCCTTGAAGTAGCAGCTGTTGCATCCTCAGTTCAGATTTTGCTCTCATGTTAAATTTTTACATCCTGAAGAATGGCACTGCCAGGAGGCTGGGGGGGCTGCAGGCTGTGTGACAGAATTCACCTGCAGATGGAGTTCATGTGGTGCTCTTGGGGCTGCATTGTTAGCATGTACTACTTCTTCCTCCAGGCATGTTCTTTCACTGCTTGATAACCTTTCAAACTTCCTGAGTAAATTTGGAAGTCCACATCGGTGACAAGGTTGGGGAACAGGAAAAGGCTTCCAACAGTAGGAATAGGCATAGGAGCACTTCAGCTGCTGGCCAGTCAGTGGGTATATTCAGGATAAAATGCTGAGTGATTAGCTGGGTAATTTCTAGCTAAGAACTAGTTTATATTAATGAACACTTTTCTGCTGTAGTGTTTTTCAAATTATTCAAATTGTTTGAGGCTTACATAGCAATTTGCTCCCTGCAAGTTTCTGGAATGAAGAAACACGAGAGTCATGCAATGATACGCTTTCATTACATTTTCAGCACATTCTCATCAAAACCAGAGTACTGAATATTTGGGATATATGAGAGCTTTTGGATAGGAGTATTAAGCAGCCCTCAGTATTTGTTCATAGCTGCAGGGACAGCTCAGCATGTCACAGTGG